ACTGCCCACTCTCTTCTCCCCCATGCTGATCCTATACAATGGAAAGATGATAAACCTATATGGGAGGATCAGTGGCCATTAACCCAGGAGAAATTAGGTCATATTCATGAATTGATACAGGAACAAATAGGAGCTGGTCACATAGAGCCTTCCGATAGCCCTTGGAATACACCTATATTTATTATGCCTAAGAAGGTGGCAGGAAAATGGCGATTGTTACATGATCTTAGAGCAGTTAATGCTACTATGCATACCATGGGAGCTTTGAAACCTGTACTCCCAGCGCCTTCGCAAATCCCTCTTGATTGGTTTCTTATAGTAGTAGATCTTAAGGATTGTTTTTTCACCATTCCCTTGGCACCTCAGGATAAAGAAAGATTTGCCTTTTCAGTGCCATCTGTTAATAATATAGGACCCATGAGAAGATACCAATGGAAGGTTTTGCCTCAAGGAATGGCCAATAGCCCTACCTTGTGCCAAAAAATATCTGGCTCAAGCTGTTCAGCCTTTAAGGGACAGATATTCCCGATGTTGCATTATTCAATACATGGATGACTTGCTCTTAGCAAGTCCACGGGAAGAGCAGACTTTGGAAATGTTTTTCCAATTAGAAAAGGAGCTCCCTAAATGGGGCTTAAAAATTGCTCCAGAAAAAGTACAGAAAGAGACACCTTTTAAAGATCTGGGAACCATAATTGAAAACCAATGCATTAGACCGCAAAGGTGGAAATAAGAAAAGACTGCCTTAAAACTTCAAATGACTTTCAGAAGTTATTAGGGGACATTAACTTGTTAAGACCTTATCTAAAAATCTCTACGGGAGAAATGACAAATTTATTCAATATACTTAGGGGTGACTCTAACCTTTCCTCACCCAGAACACTAACAAATGAAGCCAGAAAGGACTTGCTGAGAATTGAGCAGGCGATATCCTCAGCCCAAGTAGCATGGGTACAGCCTGAATTGCCTTTATTGGGACAGATTAACCATACTGCATATAGTCCCACTGGAGTCATCTTCCAAAATAAAGACTCTCCCGCTATTATTGAATGGGTCCACCTAGGCCATCAGTCTTCTAAAACAGCTATTACTTATGTAGAACTGATGGCTCAATTGATATTTCAGCTTAGAAAGCGTTGCAGGCAGCTTAGAGGAGAAGAACCTAAATGCATCTATCTTCCCCTCACTGGGAAGCAATTAGAAATGTTATTTCAAACTGACTTAAATTGGCAAATTGGACTAAGTGGATATTCAGGGGAACTTAGCTGTCACCTATTAAAAGATAAACTACTACAATTTTTATATTATACCCCCATTATTATACCAAAAAATACTCGGCAGGAACCTATCCCTGGAGCATTAACTGTTTTTACTGATGGGTCATCTAACGGGAAAGCTGCCTATCATACAATAAATTCAGACTGAGCCATACTGACCAGTCATACTTTTATGCAAAGAATTGAATTGGAAGCTATTAAGGCTGCATTACTAGATTTCCAAGAGCCTGTTACCATAATTTCTGACTCCTCTTATGCTTCAGGCCTAGTAAATAGAATTGAAACTGCTCATTTGAAATGGCTCAGTGACCAAAGTTTATTCTTACTATTTCAACAAGTCCAGCAGATTGTGCAGCAGAGACAATACCCCTTCTATATCACTCATATCAGGGCTCACAGTGTATTACCTGGCCCATTAACGAAAGGAAATGCACATGCTGATCAAATGGTTGCTTTATTAAAAGAGGCCTCAGAGTCTCATCAACTTTTACATCAGTCTGTCAAAATGTTGTCCAAACAATTCTCAATCTCTCAACATCAGGCGAAACAGATTATCAAGGAATGTCCCACTTGTATGTTACATCTACCTCAAGGGCCTAACACAGGTGTCAACTCTAGAGGTTTGCTAAGAGACCATATCTGGCAAATGGATGTAACACATTATACTCCTTGGGACGTCTTGGAGCATTGCATGTCTCTATAGATTGGAGAAATCACCTGCGGGTAGGCTGCACCAAGCCTTAATTACTTTAAATTTTTTCACTTGTGATGCTGATGGAAAGACACCTATGGAGCTACATTGGTGTCAGAATAAAACAAAAGAAAATGGTCTAGTTAAATGGAAGGATCCTGAATCTGGTTTATGGAAGGGACCTGACCCATTATTAACCTTTGGCAGAGGGTATGCTTGTATATTCCCAGAGAATTTTTCCAAACCCGTGTGGATTTTTGCTAGAAATATTAAACTGCAACAGGAATCCAAGAGAGAAACTACCCAGACTAATGAGGACCTTGTGTCTGGAGCCACATCATGCAGCTGCAGACAATCCACTACCTCAGCCACAGAGAGCAGTGACTCCAAGCAGTCTACTGAAGATGAGCAGCAGGAAGAGGACAACAAATAGCTGGAGATCACCTGGGGCATGGTAAAAAAGACGGTACAGATGCCTGATGTCTGAGAACATCTTTCCTGCCATGCCAGTGGTAATCACCTGTACGGTAACATTACCTAGGGAAACTCCCCCCAAAGCATGTGGGGAAGGGAAGAAAGGAGCACATGGTGATCCAATATGGACGCCCCCTCCCCAAGTATTCTAATTTAAAGTCTCCTCATAATTGAAAAGTTTATATTAATTATGAAGGTCCAGTGGCCCAGGGAGAAACTAGCTTAGCTCTTTGACATTTAAATGGACCAGGTTAGACCAGGGGAAAACAGTTTTTTCCTGAGGCTGCGATCTCGTGGCCAATTTTGAAATTTCCCGCTGACAAGCAAACGGCAGGAAACAATGTAGCTACAAGTTTGCTTCTTGGCTTTCCCCAGAGAAAAAATTATGGTCGCTTTAAAGTCAAGGGCTGGGCCAGGCCTGTTTGCCAGCCTTAAGCATGGTTTTCCAGAGCTGGGAACTTGAGACCTTGGAGTTTACAAAATCAGATGACAAAAACTTATACCAGATATTTTGAAGTGAAATAGTATGAGGATGCTGATTAGAAAGTACTCTGCAAGAAAATAATAGAAAGGGGTTTTTCCTTCAAACATCTGGAGGACTGTAATTAAATGTACTAGGTTTAATATAGAAAGGTAAATAATTCGGGTTTTTGCCTTCCTGAATATAGCTAGAGTAAAGTTACTGAAAGACTAATTGAAGAAATTTAATTAATGTCATTTCCAGTCTAAAATTGAATTGCCATGGCCTAGAGCAAAGAATATCCTTACATGTTATTGTTCTACAAGGTCATCAATGATTTTTGATATTCACAACAGTATATTGTATATTTATCCCAAACAAACTTAAAAACTAATTCTTTGAATGTTTGGAAGGACACAAAAAGATTTAATCCTTTCCACTGTGTGGAAGGCCTCCCTGAGAGGGCACTTGAGCATTCTGTATTGACCTCTCTTACCCTTTTTGCCAAGAGGGTCTCTCTTCTTACAATCCAATTGCCCACAGCTGTTGCCTGAGCTCTGTTCATGCTGAGGGTGAAGCCTCGTGGTGGCTGGAACCATGGATCTGTCTCTCACCCAATGGCATGAGCTGGGCCCTCTCTGGAGAAGAAACCTGGGTTCCCCATGATCAATGCCGGGGCCCCGCCAGCAGCCGAGGGGATCCCAAGGCAGTTGCTGGGCGTGGAGGCCACAGGGGCAAAGGCTACCAAGGAGACACAACTGAACCTCACATCACCCTGTTTGGCCCCAGAGGATGGCTGGTAGTCAATGACGGGTAAGACCCCTCTGGGAGGGGCGACCTAAGACAGGCACAGTCGCAGAGGAGCCACCAGGAGAGAACTTGGGGGTCAACAGAGGTGGGGCACAGATCCTCACCCCCCCAACTATGCAGGGGCTTGAACACTCACCCCTTCTGAGGGAGGTCTCCTGCCCCCATGGCTGCTGCGCTTCCCATGCCCAGCTCAGATCGGTACCCAGAAAACAGAGACTTGGCTAACAACAGCTACCCTATATCTAAATCCAGACTAACACCAGGAATACTCAGGGCCTCCTCAAGGATGCAAAATAATCCTTTCCATTAATATTTACAGTGTAACCTAAGATTGTTGTTAGAGTATTAATTTTGACATTAATTGAAACAAGTAGTATTAACCAAAATTTTCATTTCATGGTAAGATTGCTTAACATGCAGTGAACTTAAAACAGTCATATTTTTGTGCAAAAATTTAAAAATTTAAAGTTATCTAGACTGTATTATAAAAATTTTCCAAAAGCCTCCTAATAATTAAATCAAAAAAGGGGGGATAGTAGAAAAATACCATGTAAGGAAAAATATCCTGTAACTAATTTACATCTGGAAAAAATTTTTTTTCATTTGTAATGCTAACAGTAAGACACCCATGAAAAACATACATGGTGTCAAAATAAGCCAAAGGAAAATCATTTGGGCAAATATAAAAAGGACCCCAAGTAAAATTCCCTTTATTAATCTTCGGTTGAGAATAGGTTTGTATATGTTCAGAAAACAACTTCAAGACCATGTGGATTCCTGCAACAGAGAGGAATTCTCAGGAATGCTCCAGCCATGAAGACAAGAGGAAAAACAATCCAGGGATGGAAGACGCTGAAGACACCTTGCCATGCTAGCAGTCAACAGCTGTGCATCACTGCAGGTCACCCAGGATCAAACCAGAGAAGTTCGGACCTGCATTGTCATCATTTGCCCACCATCCAGAACTGAAATATCATTTCTGAGATGTACTCATAAAGAACTGTCGGACATTGAAGCTTGGACTCAGAACTGTTGGACACTGAAATTGGGATTTAAACATTCTTTGTTCTGAAAATGTTATGTTTAAGTTTTATTTTCATTATAGTAGCCAAAAAATTAAAAAAAAAAAAGGGGAGACGTGGGAAACTGATATAGGGTTGAGCCTCGGACTGACCTGCTGGCAAAGTCACAAACAAATCCCAGTTTAGAGGGTTCAGTCCTCTTAGCATAATTATGTTTGACCTTATAACACTCCCCAGATCCTACCTGGGAAGCTAATGGGCTGAGGGAAGTGCAGGGAGTGTAAACATGATCAAAACAAGTGAAACTCACAAGAACTGTAACTATGGTAACCACTGCATTGTTTACCTCAGACTATAAAAGGTCGGTGCGGACTGAGAACGGGTGGAAGTCCTTCCTCTTGAGTTGGACTTACCCTCCTGGTCCCCCAATATTTCCAAATTATCTCTTGTCTTTTCTATTTCATTTGTGTGCGGCTCCTCTTCCAGATATTGAACCCTGAACCACGCAGGACGTGGAAGGAAACATTTACGACAGTAAGTGAGGAGAGAACAATGTTTAGTAGGACTTCTTGCTTATTAAATGAAATTGTTAGATACATGAGGATTGATCTTCTCAAGAGTAATTTTTAGTAAATTTTAGTAGTATTTTATTTTATTGTATTTATTGTGGTGACATTGGTTAATAACAGTTGTTTTGTGAATGGCGCAGAGTAGGAGAAAGAAATGGCAATTCTTATAAAATCAAGCCCGTTTTCCATCGCAAGAACAAATTGCACTTGGTTTGACAGGCTTCAAGAGAGCCAGAAGAAATACTAGTACTGTGTTGGTTTGCTTGAGCTATAGAACTAAATTTAAATTTAAGTAGCTAGCATACCCTATAAATCTTCTGTGTGTGACACAAGTCATGTAACTTACAGAACAACTGTCAAGATGGGAAGTTTGTTTTAGTTTTTCTCCTTTTACAAGTTAGTTTGTGAAGCTAGGATCCACTACCAAGGTCAGCCGCTGAATTTGAATTTCCACTAAGGCACTCACCTCAAAATAGTTAAACCTAAGGGGAGTAGATTGATAACTCAGGGTCTGGACAAAAGAAGGAGGTTGGCAGAACAGTGACAGAACATTCTGTTCTGAGGAATAGTCTTTCTTAATAGGTGTTATTATAAACCGTGCAGGTAATTATATAAAAGCTGTACTTATCTAAGCTCCAGACGACACGAAATTTCAGGATATGTTGATTTTGGTAGATCTACATAGCTTGGAAGGTTTAATTATGCTGCACAACTCTAAGTATACCTATCAGGTTGATAACCTGATATCATATCCTCTGCCAGTTTAGCAAAGTCACATTAGCACTACTTGAATGATTCTGTACTTAGGCTGTACCCAATAATGTCTTGTGTCAATGCACATTTGACAGGTCACCTTAAAGTTATTTTTATAACACTGTGGGGGGCATAATTAGTCTTACTACACTCTAATTCATTACAGTATCAAGCATAAACTTTAGATAATATTCAGGAAAATTGATAAAATATAAAATAAAAGGTTAGAATTGGCATTGTATTTAATATTCTAGGATGATTCCAACTGTAAAATAAAAAGTGACTTTTGATATTATATTTTATCCCTATGTCATTTAATACAGGGGAGCAAACCTTAGGAATAGTAATACTACCTAAGGCTGTGTTGGTTCTATACCCTTGAAGTATTCATAGAATTAAATTATTCTAGTGCTCCAACATGTTAGTATTTTTTTCTTGCACAAATACAGTTAGCCAAATCATAAAAAAAATTATTCTTGTTCAAACCTCTCAAGTCTAACTAAAATTAGAAATACTTCCAGTAAGCTAATAGCATTTATTAAATTGAGTTAGGTATGAGTTAATTCAGCAATGATCTTAACAATATTCATTAAAAAATAAAGCAACTAGCATTTCAGAAGGTTATTATATTCCAGATAATACACTAGATTATGTTATGTAAAAATTATTTCTAATTTTCATAACCTCTTTTCCCACTCCTAATTTAGAATTATTATCCTTATTTAGCTACTCAGGGACTGAAATGTAAAGAATTAGATTGAGCCTTGGCCAGTGTGGCTCAGGTTGTAGGAGCATCATCCTGTACACCCAAAGGTTGTGGGTTCGATTCCCAGTCAGGGCACATATCCAGCTAACAGGTTCAAAACCTGGTTGGGGTGTATGTGGGAGGCAGCCAATCCTTGTCTCTCTTTCATATCTCTCTCTCTCTCTCTCTCTCTCTCTCTCTCTCTCTCTCTCTCTTTCTCTTCCTCCTCCTTCTAAAAATCAATAAAGTTTTAAAATTTAAAAATAATAAATCAATAAATAAAGTGGATTGACTTGACCAAAGTTATGTAGCTAAAGTATGTACCTGCTATAATTAACTCCAATATTTCTGGCTCCAGTTCCCACCTTCTTACCACTAGAAACATTCATTGAATACCTCCCATATGCAAGATAGTTGAAGCTACTACCAGGAATCAAATATGCCCTCAAAAATATATGCAGAGAAATAATAAGAAGCAAAAATCTATATTCCAGGAAAGCATGTGATACTGTTTTAAAGTGAAATAGAATCAAGTGACTCTGAGACAGAAATAAAACAGGGGTAGTTATTCTTGGAAGAACTCTTGGGAAAGAAGGACTCGGACTGCTCTCCATAGGTCATGACTGTGGGAAAGGGCAGGCGTAGACTGATCTGTTGTTGCATGAAGGGTGTTTAACATGCACTACTTCAGAGGTTGCCTTCCTGGGTCTCCCAACACTTAAAATTGCTCACTGGGCCTCTGTGAATTACAATACAATCTCACAAAGAAAAGTCATAGGTAACATTCAAGTAGTTCAGCATGAAAGAGACACATTAAAGAACAATGCATACATGTACGTGATCTATAAGTAATAGCCTCCAGAAAGTTTTTGTTTTTATATTGATTTTGTATCTGCCTACACTGGATCTCAAAGAAGAACCCACAGAGTTGATGCTTTGAGCTGAAAAGTTGCGTTGTAGGACCTTCCTTTCCCACTGCAAACACTGATCTGTGTTTGTTAGTTTTCTAAATTGGGATTTTTTAAATTTTTTTATTTTTGGTTAATCCTCAGCTAGGATATTTTTTCCATTGATTTTTAGAGAGAATGGAAGGGACAGGAGAGACAGAAAGAGAAAAACATCGATGTGAGAGAGACACATAGATTAGTTGCCTCCTGCACGTGCCCTGACCAGGCCTGGGGCCTGAGTCTACAACCAAGGTATGTTTCCTTGACTGAAATAAAACCTGTGACCCTTCAGTCTCCAGGATGATTCTCTAACCACTGAGTAAATCCAGTTTGGGCTAAATCGGGATTTTGTGTAAGAGGTCATGATGAAAATAAATGCGAACTACTTCTAAAAAAATAAATATTTAAAGATGACTTTTCCATTTAGAGTTTTTCAAAGTTCTCCTCACCTAATAATACCTAGAAATGGAGGACTGAGTAGTTCACAGTGATCGCCTTCTAAGGGCTTCCATTGGCATCATCCTGAGCTACCTGCCAGTTGTGATCTGTCACCACTTTGCACTGCTCTTTGTTAGACCCGTACCCAGAAGCCTGTTGTTATAAACCCCCTTGGAGACAGGAAGTCTTTCAAGGTGAAGCATATCAGATTTGGGGATTTTCCCAAAAGTCTCAGGAAACTAAGGCAGAGCTCATTGTGACATCAAAGTACAGGCATTGCTAATAAAATCCTTGTTCCAACAGACCAGCCTTCTTATTGATATAAATTAGAATCACAAGAATTTAAAGCCTGTGACAACCCCAAATAATTATTTTTTCTCTAAAAATTCAGCTTTTGATATATGCTGAATAGAAAAGGGGGAAAATCATTCTAGTTTCCCTTTCAAGATCTTTATATAATGCATTTAAAATATTATGCACTATATATGTAGAAATGGAAAGGGTGATTTCTGAAAAATAATTTGATAGGGGTTTTTTGCACACACATTAGCAAAATAAAATAAAGGAACCATTTTTCCCTTCCTCCTCAGGGGAGAAAAAATTGATGAATTTCTTGAAAACCTGGGACTGTGAAAGAAAGATATACTGTCCAAAAGGGGGTAATGAGGTATAGAATTAACAGGACCTTCATGGAAATGGGACTTTGTTTTGTAAAAAATATTATTTACTACTGTCATTAGCATTTGTACAGTTGTACAAAACCTGCAACATCTTGATTTGATGCACAGTATGTCTGGTTAAAATTCATTAAGCTGTATATTTTTATATGCATGTTTCCTGCATGTATATTATTTTTAATAAAAAACTTTTAAAAAATAGACACAATTTATAGTAATAAGAAGCAAACTTAAAAAAACACTTGGGAGTATTCTAACAAAAGGTATGCAAACCATATATAGGATAAAGATTAAATAAAACCTTGCTAAAATTTAATAAAGACAAGTCAATAAAAACCAATACTATGTTCATCAATAAGATCATATTGTAGAAACTAGAGGCCTGATGCATGAAATCCGTGCAAGAGTAGGCCTTCCTTCCCCCGGCTGCCGGCACCAACTTCCCTCCGGCACCTGGGACCTGGGCTTCCCTCACAATCCCGGCTTCATCCAGAAGGACAGAAGGACTTCCAAAAGGACATCCAGTCTAATTAGCATATTACGCTTTTATTATTATAGATAGCAATACTCCCTAGTGAGTTAATAAGACTATAATAAAAATTTATTACCAAATTTGTCATGAAATATGACATATAACTTTCATTTCAAATCTATACGGAAGGGTAAACAGCTAG